ATTGTGAGATTACAAGGACAAAGACACATGCCACGTGCCTAAATAACACTGGGTTTCTCAGTGTGAGCTTTGAGGATATTACAATAAAAAGATGTAGTTCAGGTTTGCTTTACTAGTATGAATCATAATTAATTCCTCTTGAGTTAGTAAGAAATACAGATATTCTAGTATTATTTAGGAGCCTGTTTTCAAAAGCTCTTAGAAAGCAAATTTTTAAGTGACATAAACTAATATAATTAAGGATGAAGGCAGATTAGAGGTAATAAATGTCTGAACCAATGGCAGGTTAATTATTATAGTTGATACCAATTTGAATTTACTGACTACAAAACCACAGTTCATTCCACACTTAATTATATGGAGAAGAATACATAAAATTAATTTTTCTTTTTAAGAAAAAAGATGCTAGAAATGAAGAATTTTCCCTTGTGGATTCTTATCTGGAAGATAATGATAGATATCATCATTGATTAGTGTTTTATAAGAATCAAAGTTCTGTGTAGTGTATAGAGTTGTTTGTCGTACTGTGATAAGCATTGGAGATTAATAACAAAAGTACTGATTCAGGAGAGTTGATGTAGGTAATCAGACTGTAAGGATGTGGTGTGCTAGTTGCCATAGTACAATTATGAGTGCAGTGTTGTTAGAACTTGATAAAGAGTTGTCTTTGGTAGTTGGAGGAACATTCTTGTTCTTGTTCTTGTTCTTGTTCCCGTTCTCACTCTGGCTCTTGATCTCGTTTCATGTTGCATTGTGCTGTATTGTGCTGTGTTCAGTTTTGTTTGAGTGATTGAAGTCACGGCCTTCCTGCTGAGTTACATCTGCAGGCCTCCTCTCCCCCTTTTTGAGTTTTTAGAGGAAGGGTTTTACTTTGTAGTTCAGGCTGACCTTGAACTATTATATAGCTCAGGCTAACTTCAAACTCAGCAGCTCTTTAGCTTCATTCTCCTGAATCCTGAGATTACAGGTGTGCAGCACTATGCCTGGCTCCTGGCCCATTTTTTGAGACAGAGTTCTACTAAATTGCCCAGCCTGGAGTCAAACTTGGGATCCTCCTGCCTCAGCCTCCTAAAATGCTAGGGTTATAGGTATGTGCCGTCATACCTGGTGGGGGAAGATTTTTGAGGATTAGTGGTATCTAAGCTGATTCTTGACATTTGTCAGGCTGAGAATAGAAACAAAGGGACATTCCTTACCGAAAGAATACTTTTATATGATTCGTTTATTGTAGCTTGTTACATGTGCAATTTAGAAAACAGGTAATATCCATTAAATATTGTGTCTTTCAGTGGATCTTTGGCAAGTCTTTACATACAGCAATTTTATGAATCTGTTTTCTTGGTGCCTGATATTTTGGCACATGGTCAAAGCCTGGCGAATGTTGAATGGGTTGCTAGATGAAAAAAAGGAAAAGAAAATCAGTAACTATAGTAACTGTAGATAAGGCAGGTTTGGCACTGTGTTGGGAAAACCTGGAAATTAACTTACTTTTCAGCAAAATAGAAGAGCAGTGTTTTTATACAGGCAACAGAGAGACATGGAGAGAGTCAGTACTTTATCAGAAAATAACCTGGACTCTTGTGAATTACCTGCACAAACATTTACCTTGGACTCCAGAGTCCTGCTCTGTGTAGCACAAGAGAAATAAGTTTATTCTAAAAGTTTTAGAACAGTTATTACCACCTAATGACAACATCCCTGAACTTCAGCCAGGCCTCTGTGGAGTGTGTGATTTTAAATAGATCTGCTTCCTCTTGGTCCCTGTAGAATTAACAAGTTGTACAGTGCATGCCTGAGTGGCTCAGAGGATTGGACTGTGGAAGGGGTTATTTTAGATGCTTGGTGAGTGATTACGAAGTGTAGGTTTAGTTTCCATATATTAATGTTAAGCTACTTCTTTGGCAGTAACTAGTCACCAGAATCAAAACCACTTCTTAAGGCTTTTCTCCTTCAGAAAACTGGGTACCTGGTGCTGGGGATAATAGCTCGGGACATGGCACCTGCCTGGCAGGTGTGAGGTTCTTAGTTTGATTCCTGGTTCAACAAAACAAGGTTGGCGGGGGACCTTTTTTCTGACCCCTAGAATTGTGAATCCGCCTATCTGCTTGAGTGTCCTCCGGGATGTCTCCAAGAACATTAGAAATCTTACTCCTGACTGCTGCCCTGTTCTGTATGTACCCTTCATTAAATGGATGACCATTTACCTAGTGACTCAAGCCAGATACACGGTCTGCCCAGCCAGTCTGACTTATCTCCCTTATGTGTTCGCTTTTCCGCGTTTGATGTGTGGTCAGCTTCATCGAAGTCCCCATCATTTAACTACTGTTCCGCCCTCTTATCTGATCCTTCTGCTTTGGCTCTTGCTACTTTTGATCAGTTCTCTACAAAGCACATAGCGTGATCTTTGTAAAAACAATGTCCTTAGATTATTTCCCTGTTTAAAAGCCTTCATTGGCTTCTCATTGTCCTTTAGGTAAAGTAAAAATAACTGACCTTAACCTGCATGTGAAAGCATCACCTTTTCAGCTGCATCCTTTCCTCCTCCTCCTGTCTGGGCAAGCTGGCGCTCAGCTGTCTGGATGTGCCACGCTTTCCTGCCTTGGTCTTCTTCCTCTTTCTTCTGCCAAGCATGTTTCGTTCGCTCTTCACTCGGCTGTCTCAGTGTGTAGCATACATACTGTTACTCTTTCCGAGACCTTCCCTAGTTATCTCTTCTACAGCTATCCTCTAACAGCTTTTCAATTCAAGTTTTAAAAGTGTGTTTCACGTGTTTCCCTGCTATGATACAAGGCCCCGTGCGACCACATCTGTCGTGTTTTACCTATTGCATCATGCCTGTTTTGAGGGCAGTGCTTCACAAACATTTGTTAAAATGGAGGATATTAGCCAAAATCAAAATTGGTCTAGAAGGGGTGTCTTGACTTATTCTTTGCAGGGCCATCTAATTCCTGTGCTTGCTGATCGTTTCCACGACAGTGCCTACTAGAGTACTGTGCTAGTGGAAGATCATAAATAATGGCTGTTTTGCATTGCTGCAAAAAGAGCTTTGTGGAACTTTTACATTTTTGTTCTTCGAAATCTAAAAAAACTAAGTTTACATGTTTTTTTCTGTAATTCTGTGCATTCTTGAGCAAGTGTACCAGGTCTGTTTCTTCAAATAGTAACTGGGAAAAGTTACACGCATTCCATAGGAAGATTCAGTAGAGTTACATATACAGAGTGACTAGTTTAATGTGTGGCACTTTGTGGTTCAGGCATTCTTTGTTTTTCTTTCATATTTCAAATGATTAATGAAAACTCAGGGGAGAAAGCCTGATTTAACATATAATCTTATTGCTTTTTCTTACTGCATAATTATACCCATGGGCCCAAACTGAGGATGAAGACCATCTTAAGAGGAAAATGTCCCCCTCACGGATTCAAATAAGCAGTGACGTTACTTAACAGCAAATAACATTGGTGTTCTTTAAGGAAGATGTAGTACGTGGAGTTCACCTTTGCCATTTCCCAGATGTTATTTAACATTGTTAAATTGTAACAACTAATACACACAGATACCTATTTTCCATTCTTACTGAACTGTATATTCCATGGAGATGGGTCATATGAAACCACTTTTCTCTTTTAGATATTTTTGTATCTGGGAAACCTTAGTACCTTGGAACTCTGATCCCAAAACTTTGCAAATTACATTGTCAAACTGGAAATAAAAAATTAAATATTCTGAAGATAGTTCTCAAAACCCAATGTTTAGATTCAAGTTGATTGATAGTAGATATATTTAAGACATACCATTCTGGATGTTAGATTGAGTTAAGGGAAGATGCTTGGGTTAAAATATATCAAAATCATCAAAGTTTATTCTCTGCAGTGAAGTCAAAGCACTTAACCCACCTTTTGTCTATTAAATTTGCTTTGGTCACATGAAATAGTAACTGTGCTATGGGCAATTATTTCTTTATAAGCCAAGCCATTTAGAGGGAAGGAGGATTGAGTATTAAAGGCATGAGACCTTTACATTTGTCACCTTGAATATTGACTCAGACAAAGGAACTGTGTTGTTTGTAAGTATGTTTGGGAGTATGATTTAGAGCATTGATGCCAAGGGCTAGGCAGGATAAGTAACAGATAGTACATTAACTGATGCTTAGCTCTGTTATTTACAGAGTGGAAACTCTACAAGCGCCACAGGAAGAGGTCTGAATTCTCTTTGGGATTCTCTTAACTGTATCATACTGTGAAAACTCTTACTCAGATCATAACCAAGGATCTTGCAAATGTGTATGATTGGTCTTTTGGGACATGAGACTCAAAACATGAGCATGCATAGGTAAATCTATTTCCAACAATCCTGGAGGTGTGCTGTGTTAACAGAATAGGTTTGTATGAATGCTGATGTCTAAACATCTAGACATCAGGTTGGGATCAGTTTCTCAGTACAAGTTAAAATGTATATACTAACAGCTAACCTGAAAATTAAGGTTGCTAATGTTAGCATTTGTCCTGATGAAATACTGTCATTTCACGGTGGTCCTCATATCACAGTGTCATAAAAACAGACACACAAAACCATTCTTTTTTAAGGTTTATCAAAATGAGTAAACATTGATGCTACCTAATCAGTGGTTTTGCTTGGGGACTAGAGTGCTTTGTAAAGAAATATAGAGTAATATCCTCTGTCAACCACTCTGACCATTTTGTTAGTTCCCAAGGGAGCCTATCATGAAATGAGAGAATAAATCATCACTTTTGCTGAAATCCAAGTCTGATTGTTCAAAAACAGATCATTGCAGAGGTCCCTATACAGAACTTCAGACTTTTCCTTTTTCCATTTAATCAGTTTGATATTTAAATGACCTCTGCGGAATATTTTGTTTGAGTCAGGAATGGTAGTCCTGAAAGGACCATAGTTGTAGTCTTTACTCTGCCTATGTCTTACCTATGAGCAGCCTGTTGTGGAACTGACTGACCTTTCTGTTCTGTTCTTTTCTTTTTTACAGAATGCTATGAACCTGCCTCCTGACAAAGCCAGATTACTGCGGCAGTATGACAATGAAAAAAAATGGGAACTGATTTGTGACCAGGTGAGAAAGAGAGATGCTTTTATCAACAGAGTGATAGAAGAGAACCAGTTTCTCCTCTGTATGTGTTTCACTTCATGTTTTGTGACTCCTTGCCTTCCTGTCTCTTACCACCTACAGAAAAAGCGAGAAAATGACTTTTGTTCCCCATTTAATTCTTTCATTTATTTTATACACTTTGCACTTCACTTTTATTGTAAACTCACTCGTGAGAAAGCCAAATTCAGTGATCACTTTCTCTGTTTACTTTCCATAGCTGTTTATGCTGCTTGAATAATGCAGGCCCTCTAATTTAATTGGCCTTCTTGTTCATGTAAGTTGTTATGTATATATATATGTGTGTGTGTGTGTATATATATATATATATATATATATATATATATGCAAGAAAATAAATAGTTTTACCAGCCAAGAATGTTTCTTTATAAACTATTTCAGATTTTATCCACCTTCTAAATGTTCTTTTCTAATCATTAACTTACTGTAACAAATTCAGACTCTTCAGATAGATAAAATGGAAAGTGAAATTCTTCACTGCTTTCTCTTTACCCTCCAAATTTTCCACCTTGGAGATCCACTGGTAATACCTGGATGTATCTTTTATACTTTTTTTCCCGTTTGTTTTAAAGCAAACAGAAAATGTATGTTTATACACACAACCACAACCACACATATACATTGTTAGTGAATGTACCTCTGCTTCACCCTGTTAAGTGGTATACGGTGTTTCCTTACAATTGATGGCAATTTCTGGCAGTTTGTTGCTGGTTAGGTAGTTCCTGGCTCTTGTTATCCTTGAAAGGATCACTTTCTAAAGTAGAATGTATGTCTCTTGCTGCGGGACAAACTAAAACAGGGCGTAGAATTTTATGGGCAGAGCGTCCTTGATGCCTGAAGTTCACATCCAGTTTTGGAAGCACTTCTTTTTCAGTTGTGTTACCATAGCGCTTTAAAAAAAAAAAACAAAATAAAAAATCAAAACATTATACACTAAGTGGAAGGTGGGGCGGCCATCCTGTACATGCTGCAGGTGAGTACCAAGGGGAGATAGGAGCTGAGGAGGGTGTATTCTGCTGTATGACAGTGATACACAAGGAACATTTGACTCCAGAGCCTTCACACTAAGCTACAACTCCAGCCCTTTTTTATTTTTTATTTTATTTTTTCTTTTTGGTACCGAGGATCGAACTCATCACACCTTGTGCTTGGCAAGCAGGCACTTTTGCCACTGAGATAAATCCCTGGTCCCTTTTTTACTTCTTGAGGTATTTTTCACTAAGTTACTTGATTACTCAGGTTGGGTTCGAACTTGCAGTCCTGACAGTCTCCCCATGTGCCACCATGCCCAGCTGAGATTTACTTTTTAATGAGTATTTTCTAATTCTATAACTGGAAATAAAATGATTTTGTAATGACAGCAAAAGATATGAGGAATAATGAATGCAAAGAAGGGAAACCACACACATGAGGATGGTATAAGCAGGGAGAAAAAGTCTCAAGTGTAACAGGTCCTGAGAGAAAAGAGCCCAGATGCAAAGGTAGGATGCTTCCTGGTGCTCATTTATTAGTGCCAGGCGGACTTGGCCATCCTTTCATAGGCAGGCAGAATTCTCGGCAGCCCAGTTTGTTCCTGGCTTTATTGTATTATTAATTTTTGTATCCAAAAATATGGCAGAAAGAGAAGCCTGCTGATGACAGAAGGCTTCTGACAGCAGCCGTGTCCTTTGCTTAGATCAGAAATATTTGGATACCATTGATACTGGAGTCCAGGGAATCTTGAGGTTAAGGGAGGAATAAATCAGGTATTGAACTGTTTCTGGTTTTCAGATCCTCAACGTTCAAGTGGTTATTGTTCCTACGTGTCACTGTGCTGGGACTTGGACAGTTCTGCTGCTTTGGCTGTTCTCCCCTGGCTGTCATTTTCCCACTTGATAGAAGCTCCACACTGAAATGGTTCTATCAGGTCTGAAGCCTTATGGCTGATTTGTTATTAATAGTTTAACATTTATTATTGCCAATAACTGGCATTTAGCAAGCAGATTATTTTAAGGACTTTTTGTTTAGTCTTCAAAGCATACTTACTAGTATCTTCGTTTGATATAAAGAAAAATGAGACTTAAAAGTTTTCTTTTTTTTCCCCCAAAGGTCCCATAGCTGTTAAGTGGTCAGATGGCCTTTGGCAGTCTTGACTTGGGGAGGTATCGATTCTGAAATCTGTACTGTTAACCACTGCAATCTGCTACCCTCCTGTGTGGTTCCAGTGACATACTAAAAATAGTTAAAAATAAAGGTTCCCTTCTTTCTCTTATTCTTTGGCATGCTTCCTGGGAGAGAGAGAAAGCAGAAACTTATAACTTGGGAATAGGGTTTACTTACCCACATTACCACTACCATTCATCTATGAAAATTATGGCCAGCAGAAAATTAAGTATTTTGCTGCATGTGGCCCACCCATGGATGGAGATGCCACACACATGATATCAAATGTCCTATCTATCTTTGTGAGGAAATGTCCTATCTATCTTTGTGAGGAAAAGCTGAAAACCATGAGCTGAAAATATTTGTATCCAGTGCTGAAAGTTTTTGTATCCATCCAGTGCACCATTATGCATGCATGTTTATTGACATGATGTCTATTTTATCTGTTACATATGTGAACTATGTCATATATTGTATATTTTTGGTATCTAACCCAGATTGATCCATGGTATCTAACTAATGGACCCTCAAAATTTTTGCAATTATGCATTCACTTATAGGAAATGTTTGAATAGGCAGGAAGCTCTGTACAGAGAGAAAGTAGATTCATAGTTGCCAGGGACTAAGAGGTGGGATAAGAAGCAACTGCTGATGAATGTGGCGTTTTCTTTTTGGTATGGTGGCAAAATTCTATAATTACATAGTGATGTCTGAATAGCTTTGTGAACATATAAAGTCATATACTTTCAAAGTGTGAATTTTATGGAATATGAATTATATCTCCATTTAAAAGGTATTTAATAGGAATAGAAAAAAAGAGGAGAAAGGGATTTAGGATACATAATAAAATGTATATGTGAATCTTTCTTGGATCTGAATTTGAACAAACTAATTATGAAAAGACTTTGTGGAAAGCTTGAGGGTATTTGACGTGAGTGACATGATTCCAAGAAAGTTTTGTTTGTGTTTTTAGGTTTGATTTACCTTTGTGATTATATAAGTGTCTGTTACTATTTTAAAATGAATATGTATGAATGTGGTAGTGATATAAATGGGGTTTGCTTCTTCATCAAAGAAGAAAGTAAAATGAGATAGGTAAAGGAAATTGGAAAAATCTAGATACTTGTTCAGTCTTGATTTTAAGATTGCTGTGGTCTATTATAGTTTACTTTCAATTTTTGTGTATGTTTGCAAATTTGTTACAGCATATAAAATTTAAAAATTTACTACTGATCATTTTCAATCATCTAGAAGAGGTAATTAATATTAACATCCTTAACTAATTTTGAGGATTGGAAGTGATATTTCAATAACAGCTGGAATATAAGTGGGTACTTCATAGATTGTGTGGCTGCTTCTGCTACTGACAAAGGACTGAGGTACTAAACATTGCTACCATTATTTTTATTTTCAACTGTCCAGAAAAAAACCCTGAGAAACTTACTGTATCAAATCTGTCATCTGCTATTACCTGAGCATTTTTTTGTAGTGTTCATGTACTTTGTATGATGCTGGTAGAAAAGCCTCAGCTGTTGATTTTCAGTCTGAGAGATTAACCAGGCATACCTTAGAGGTACAGTCTTAAAACAGTGACCATGATGTCTAACATAGAAGATACCCATGGCCTCCAATGCTCCATGCACAAACACTGATTTTATTTCTTTTTAAGAAAAGAATGTTGAGGTATTATGTTATTTAGAATACATGCATTAATCAAGATGCACAAAATGGTGTATAATATTAAACTTATTTCCAAGGCAAATACATGAATAGTGTTAGCCTGTGAAGAAATTTTTTCAAATTTCAGTTCCATGAATAATTAGCATATGGACACTATTACTCATGGAACTGGTCATATGTCTCCTTTTTTTCCTTGCCTTCTAGAATGCTCAGCCAAAATTGTAACCTGTCTTTATCAACTACACTTTCTTATATCTACACTGATCTGCTCATTGGAAAAAAAATTGTATGAAGTTGTAAACTCTGTAAGTCATGTTTTTGAGCAAGCTAAATAAACCTAAATTTTTCTCTGTACTGTAGACATCATATAGATCAGTGTGCTGAATCTTCTGTACTTGAAAGAAACAAATGCTATAGTCAAAGCATTTATCATGACTTAAGGAAGGTCAGTAAGTGCAATTTGTCATTTAATTTGGTGCACCAACTTTTTCCTATTTTTGTATGGTGGTGGCATTAGTCTGTTACTTTGTTTTGTATTGATTTAAACTTCTCTCGGTACTTTTTTTTGCATTTGTTTGTGTGCCTCCATCCACTTGCTTAGTATATGAAATATAGTGAGTACATATGTGTATGTTGAGGTGACAATGGAGAAGGCAGCATTATTGTCAAGAATGGCAGAAGGGAAAAAGAGAGGTTGAGGAGGTGGCTTGAGGGGACCAAGCAAAGGCTTGCTATTTTTTTTACCTCTCTTTCTTCTACCTGTTGGTGTGTTTGCTTGTCGCAAATGAAACTAAACAGTATTTCTCAATCCTAGAGTTTCCTTTAAAGACTAGCAGGAGTCTGTCTGTCTGTTATGCATTTCAGCAAAGAAGCTCTGTCATTGCCTACCCATGGCCACTTGGGGTGAGTTGGTAGTGACTCCAGTTCTTTGGCTACTTCTAGGAGCAAAGTCAAACTTTTACTTTTTAAAATTGTTTGTGTAGGTGGGATACCTAGTCCTTAAGACAGATGTAAACCTCATGTACACAATATATGATGAAAAGAACTTTAAAAAATGTGGTTAAGTATATATAACATTAAATTTGCCACTTGATGTGTATAATTGAATGGTATTCTTTGCATTC